GACTATGGTTCATCTAGCCAGCGTTACACAGAATCTGACTGACTTAGAAAAGCTCGAGAGTAGAGTTAAGATAATACATAGTTTAACTCATCGAGCATATGAGCGTACTTATAAGATGGCTATTCGTGCAGGGCTTGATCACCCGGCGTTGAAAGTAACCATACGTGAAGTATACCGACGCTGTACTGATTGTAAAAAGAACCAGATCAAGCGCTACGGTTGGGCACTCCTAAAAAGTGTGACAGAAGACCAACCGATGCGCCGAGTCATAGTCGATTTGGTTAAACTCCCGCGATCCAAGCATACTGGCGATGTATATATCTGTCATTTCTTATGTGTGGCTTCGGACTATAACTTGCTTTATGCAATACCGAACAAACGCCCGCAAACAGTGGCGTTATGCTATCACGTCTTTGATGACTTTGGTTTACCCCGAGTACTATGTTCTGATAACGGTAGTGTGTTTTGTACTGACATAACCCCATAGGCGTGGTGTTCCTTAAAAACCTCAAACGCATGGTGCAAATGAGACACGTCATAGAGAACCAAAGAAGCTATTGCGTACCGCACTGGATGACGTTGAGGATATGTGGCCTTATCATTTGAATCGGGTTCAGACTCAAATGAATAACTGCATGAATTCTCAAACTGGAACACTCCCGTTTCACTATTTCTTTGGCCGCTACAGTGAATTACAAGCAACGTTTGACAAAACTGCGCCCGAGAAACACGTTTCTCCGTGGCTACAAAAGATCGAGCATATGCAAAACGTTGTTTACCCCTGTTTACTCGAGCACAAAAATCGCGTCCTACTTAAAGCATATGACCGATGGAATAACACTTAGAATATTGTTCAGTTCAAAGTTGGTGATTATGTTAACATTATAAATCGCAATGCCAACGTTACCGAACTCTCTTTTCAGACAATTGGACCTTTTATTATTTCCTACCATGATGAGAAGAGTGATACTTACGAAGTGAATAAGATAGATGGTACTAGCGCAACTAATCTAGGCACTCACCGTATCCCTATCTCCGAACTCTCATTCGCTCGCTCATTTGATTCTGATGTCCCAGTAATGGAGTCACAAGTCAAAGATATAATTGACAAAACATCCGAAGACGGTTACATTTACTACAAGACTCGTTTATGGATGGGACAGTAGCTTGGCTAACCTCCGATGCGTTTCGTGAATCTCGCGACTTCCTTCGTATTTTTAATAGGAAATGGAATAAGCGTTTACATAAGGACACACGAGATATACGACAAGGGTTTCCTCAGGTGACTACAAACCCGGATGGATCTGAAATCCCCTATTTGCCACCTACTTCTTATGTGACTAAACTTTCTGATCTGCTTACCAACAGAGCAGAAAATTCTTCGAACTTACGTACTAATGAAGAGCAAACTTTGACCATTACCTTACCAAGTAATAAACGTAAGGCGCCTACATCGGGAATGGTTACTGGACCAAATACTAAACGACATAGAGTACAACTTGAGTCTTGAACTCGTAAATATAGGCACATACTTATTCGATAAGCCATGACCGAACCCGTTTTACTTTGGTTTTCACTTTACGAACTAGATCGTACCTTCACGTACGTCCGTAGTCCTAAAAGCTACTTGGGGCTATGTAGAAATACGTTATCCGGTCAGTCTAAAATATCAAGATCAAATGAGATAACACATTGGTTTTTATTTGTATTTAAAAAATGGTAATACAAGTTCCTTTTCCAATATTTCCAAAGTGTTCTAAATTCACTTTGATGGCTCCAATAGCCTGAGTATTTGGTATGACTCATTTACTTGGACCTATTTGAGTCGATAGTAGATATAGGATATTATAAACTAAATTTTATAAATTCTGAACTTCTACTTGCAGGTTTTGGTCTTCACGCCAATTTCCAAAATCCAATAAGTTTTTAATTTTTATAACTATTCTTCAGATGGAACTTTATTTATATTAGCTAATGTATTAACTTGACTTACGTTCTTATGTCTATCTACAAATTAGACATGTGGTCATGAACACTTAGTACTTCTAGTGAAAATTATTCAATAAAGAACAGCTAGAAGTACGTCCTGTGTGATCGAGGATATTTAGGCTCTTAACAAGAGGCAGTCCCGATCATTCTTACACAAGCTACCACTGCTAAATCCTAACTGACTTAAATTGTATCTTAGTTTATATAACATAGTTTAAAACATAGAAATATCTATCGAAGTTTACAATTGCTCGGTCCTCTCTCGACCACCTCTCTCACCCCTCTCTCTTCTGTCATATACCTCCGGTATATATATATATATACTATATAC